CCATTGACGGCAATTTATGTGTTGCATTGTTTATGACAGATTTATCGCAAGTTAATGACATGCGACCGCTGATTTATATAGCCAACACAAATATGCCAGCCAAATGATGCGCAGCTGACAAAAGGAAAGCATATACTGGTCACAGAGTGATGCTTAATGTAGGATCTGGTGGCTAATGAGCAGCATACACACACCTGATCGGATCGAAAGGGAATATATTCCATTTGATCTTGCAACGATGGGATGAGTGCTGCTGAATAAGCAAGAAGTGTACTGGAAAAGAGCTGGTTGAGTGAAATAATTTTCACATTTACACAACTGCAGATAATTTGTTGTTTCGTCCTCAGCTTTTCACTTGGTCTTAATACCCTTTCTAGGGGTTTAAAAAGATTGGTTAAAATCACGAAAAAATAATAATAATTTTCCCTAAAGAAAGAGATACATTTTTGTGAACTGGTTGGGGTTAAAAAAATATTATAAATATGCTTGGTTTTTTAATTTTAATATTGATACGTCTGATAGGAGTTCAGCATGTTTTGACTTTGCTTTAAATAAGATAACCTTCTGTAATATTTCTAAAATATAATTTAACTTTTTTTTTTAAATAAAATCTTTAGTAAAATTATTTGAAACAATTTCTTTCCAATAATTCATAGAGTAATTTATCTTCGGCTTCCTAAAGATGCTTCTCCTTCCTCATTGTTCTTGCATTTTCTTTTTCTCCTTCCGATGTTGCTGCTGCTGCCGGGGTGCTGTAATTTTAATAATGAGAAATTGTCAGCGCATAAAATGAAGTCCAGACGACGACAGCTGACACAACAAGCCGCAGTAGTGAGCCACCAGCAGCAGTACCACCACCACCACCCAGTCAGCCTCCACTTTTAATTTAAAGCTTTTGCACATTTACGCGTCAGATGCCTCGAACCCATTGTTGTTGGTGTTGCCAGTATTGTTGATGTCGTTGTTGTTGTTGTTGTTGGCCGTATATAATAATAAGTGCGCGGCAAGTTGGCCTTCTCTACTTGTTGTCTGAACTTCCTTTTGGGTCCCTGCCATGCAAATATTTATATGCCAACGTTGGAACTTTGTTGATTACAAAAAACGGAACGAAACGGAATGAAATAAAAAATATAAAGCCAACTGAAGAGCCAAGCAGGAAAAGTGAAAACAATTTTTTTATGGTATATCCTTCAGTTGGATTTTTGGGGTAATTTTTTTTTCGGGGAAGTAGGTTAAGAGAAAGCACACACAACACACGAAAATTTTTCAAGGTTCAATGCAGAGGAGGAGCTCTTGTAAGAATAAGTTTATTTGGCCAAAGGTCAAGAGTAATATACTACTATATATATATGTGCATGATCCTTTTGCGTGCTGTGAGTAATGGAATGCGATTCGCCTCCTTTTCTGTTTTTTTTGGGGTCAGTCGTATATTTCAATTAAAGCTGAACATGCAAAGCATAAAGAATAAAATCGCAGAGGCTAAAGTCGAATACTGTTTTTTTTTTTTGGGGCTTGTGAAATCCGAGCTCATCGTGTGTTAAAGCTAATAAAAAATGATTTATGCGTGCAGAAAGAAAGGCAATTCTTGGGCAGAGAAAAAAAGGAAGGCAGACCTTCCCAGGGAACTTTGCTGTGGTTAATGCTTGCGACTCGCTTGCCTCCGAGACTTTCCCGACAAAGTCGGGTAATTAACACGCTGCACAACCATGGCCACAAGAACCACGGAGCTGCAACACCTAGAACAATGCATAAATCTACTTTCCTGGTTCAATGCGCCGGCTGCGGTTGGCAAACGCGATTAGAAAAGAAAACCAAAAGCGAGGGAAGAACTAGTTTTTCCTACCTACCTACCTACCTACCTACCTACCTTTGGCATAATGGGAAATCGAAGCCATAGCCACCGCAGCAGAAACGGTAAAAAGCAGCCACAACAGCATAAAGAACAGCAGAACTTTGGCCAACTACGGCTCTAATGAGTAGCGGGGAGGAAGCTTAGAAAGTGCCAGCCACTGGAAACTGAAGCAGGGCACCACCGCACACTCTTTTTGCTGTGAAATGAATCGTTTCTGCCACATTCAAAAGGCTTTCTTTTAGAGCCAGAGCAACTTGGCCAGCGAAGCGCGAATTATGCCCATGAAACATGTGTAAAAGATACCGAGGGAGTTGCAATTGAAGTAATTACAATTGCGCACAGCCAACAAAGACGGCCAGATACATTCTAAATGCGCTCAACAATGGCTAAAAATTGCTCAAAAATGCATACAAAAGAAGAGCCAGAGCCAGAGTCAGACTTGTGTTTGAATGCAGAGCATGAATGAAGACCCAAATGCATACACAAATAAATTAGCAACTAAACAAAAAACAAAGGCTGGCAAAGGGGAGCGATGTAATTATGTAAAAAAGCAGGGCGCGCGTGCATCCATAAGATACAAAACAGAGGGAGAGAGCCAAAAGCACATATGCAGACATGCACAGAACGAAATTTGTATCTAGAATGCTTCTGACATTTATGAAGGAGTAACATTTTGGCAATAAAATGAATACCCAGACGCCCAGACGCCCCCGAGGCGAGAGTTTTATTGACTCGAAGTAATAGCTGCCATTCTGTTTCTTCTCTAAAAATATAAGAATAGTTTTCTCTATAATAAAAGGGAATAGATATAATAAAATACTTTAAAAATTCATCTAAATTTTCTCAACTGTACCAAATGTATCCGCATTTGTATCTGCATATATGCCTTTTGTGTGCGCGTGCCTGGCAACCTGGCAACACATTTGCACATTTCATTATTTAAACAAAAAGCAAGACACAGCTAAAGGGCCGCTCCAGGGAGTGTTGGTACGGAGGGGGGCCAGGGCAATAAAAATTATGCATGCCATACTTTTATTAACATCCATTGAGAGCTGAGCCCGGCCCTAAGCAGCACTCATTATGCCCAGCATCCACGGAAAGCCAGGCATGTCTATTAAAATTAAAATGCGCTCAGCTTCAGCTCTTTTTTTATTATTTTTTTCTTCATAATCTTTCATTCGCAAAGTAAGAGAACCAAAATTGCCACACAAAACGCGCTCCATGGGTGGCGACGGGGGGTGGCTTGGTGGGGAGCTGGTCTGCCACTTCAGTGATTTTCAATATGAAAATGCAGCCAGACAGAGCTGACAGAGGGACAGACGGACTTACAGACAGACAGGCAGTCGGCTGGGGGGAGTTGTTTGTGCTGAATGCATGTTACCGCATGCTTGGGTGAATACGAATGCAGGAACATTATGTGGCAGGCAAGGGATTGCGGTTTTCAGCCCATGCAAATTAGCAGATATATATCTGCAATAAACGCGATACATGCGGATGCCAGATACCAGATAGCAGATACCAGATAACACAGAGCTCGCATTTATCGCAGCAATTTAAAGAAAACTGCCAGAACAATGTACGAATCGAAGATGTTTGATTTTAGGTACTTTGTTTGCACTGAAAGAAATGTTTACCTGGTTTAAACCTTCCATTAAACATTTATTTTACTCTACACTTAAAAATATATATGTAGGGATAATACAAATTAAGTTTATTTTATTTTAGGGTAAAGTTCACAAGATTATAAATGTTTAAATTATTTACGGAAAATTCTTCTTTCGCACTATGGACCAATCCCACATATATTTTTCTCTTAGTAAATCCTCTTATAAAGTATATATCCAAGTATATATTTTCCTTTGCTGCATCTCAATAAATTGCTACAGCTGTCGATCCATAAAAAATAGGCTTGTGCGTGAGTTGGTGAGCAAAGTGCTTCGATAATCCCTGCTAAACATGCGATTTGAAATGGTGAACAAATCGAAAGTCGAATCTGAACCAAAAGTCAAATAAATATTTGAGGAAAAATAACGAATTTCGTATTCATACAATTTTTGGCTCTGAATCCTTGCAATCGCACAAACACACACAGAAAAAGGCAATTGAATTACAAATGCTTCAGGAGTTGTCAGTTTAGATAACTGGCAATTTGTATGCGGCGAGCAATTAGAAGTTTTTGGGCCTCAGAATAAAATAACACAATAAGAGATGGGACACTGGCACAGACAGACAGACGGAGATGAGCTGATGAATTTAGTGAGGAAGAGCTGGCCATGCATACAAAATAAACAAAGAAATACAAAGATGTTTCCTTATTTATGACCCGGCCAGAAAATATATTCAGATGTATGTAGATTTGCCAAGTTTATTTCACTCTTTGCAACCCACCTCCTTTTTACACATTTTTGGGGCAGGAAATAACCGAATTACACAGGACACACAGGACGGACCTGACCTTTCCCGAGAGTTGTTGGGGGTGAAATTTGTTATTTATTTGCAATCCGAGCTTAGTTCTTAATTATTTTCTCGAAACTGTTTCGTAACCAAACAAGAAAGCTTTTTGCATTTGATTCGATTGGACGAGAGGTAAATTGAATAAAATTATTCCAAAAATTTGAATATTCTTTTTGGTTTCGTAGTTTCCAGTTCCCAGTTGTGAGCGCACAGTTGCGAGTGATTCATGTCAAGTTGCCAGGAGGCAGGCTCTCCAGCGTAATCCTTTGGCTGCCTCTACCGTCTGCATTACACGCTCTTGACTTGCAAATTGTTTGCGGTTATGGCCTGCATTGCGGGTTCTAAGTAACAGCCAGCTTAATTAAATTAAGCATACACACATCCCGTCACGAGGGATGTGTCTCATGAATAGGCATTACGTATGCGTTGAAATTTAAGTGGCTTACACACACGTTTCTCCGCGCGGACATGCTTGTTTGCCACTCTTGCATATGTATGACATTATTAGTGTCATAATGACAGCGTCACCCGCACATATGTGGCACTTGTCTAGCTCTCTCACTGAAAGTTGAAAAGTCGCTGAAGAAATGGCCCCGCCCCGTAACTCTTTTGGAATGCTAATAAGACGCCATCATCCATCGCCTTCACTCGTCCCTTTACTAATTTGCATATTTTTCACGCTTTTTTATTGCAGTAAATTACTTAAAAATACATTAAAAATGTACAACCGGCTGCAGCTGCATCTATAGAGAGGGAGAGAAAGGACAGAAAAGGATAAGAACCGGCAAGGACAATTCAGCGGAAGGTAAGTGAAAATAAATATTATTACTGCTCTTCTAGTCAAGCTTATAAATATTCATTAAAAATAATTATAAATTATGCAAACAAAGCGGGGGGCCAAAGAAAACAAAAAAAAATTAACTAGCATAAACGGCAAATAGAAAAAATCCCCCTGACATCCATTTATTTATATATCATTAAATATTACAGCATTCAATTGTGCTCAGTTTTCATTTAGTTTTATTTTTTCCCTCGATTTTTCCTTTGGTTTCCTGTTTAATTGAGCATAAAGCGCACTGCAAATATAAATAAATTGCATTAAATAAATATGTTTTGGGGAAATGGACAAACAAAAAATTACTGAAATGAAAACCGCAATTATTTTCACAAAAGTGCAACGCTCTTAAAAAAAAAAAAAGAGAGAAAAACTTTGGCGATCAAACACACGAAAAGCACTTGAAAAAGAGCACAGACAACACTTCTAAATTTTCAGCGCTTTTCCCAAAGAGTTCATAACTTTTATCACTCACTGTCAGCCGCACAACCACACACACGTTCTTGGCACTTGTTGTTACTTTTTTATTGCCACCTTCTCTGCCCCCGAAACGCCCTCGGCAAATGCAAAATGCGAAAATGCATTGTGACAGCCATTTTTTTGTTTTAAATGTCGGCAGGAGCAGGCGAACAAAAAATACACAAAATATACGTATACGCCACAAACACTTTGTCGTTGGTGTTGCATAAGGAAAAACACTTTTAAAACATTTTCAGCGGCACTAAAACAAACGGGGAAATGGAACAAAAAAAATGACTGAAAGGCTTTATGCGGCGGCTCCAACTATTAATACACTTCTGGTGAGACTAACACCCCCAATCCCAGTTTTCTAATGTCACACAGAAGCCTTTGGCAGTGGAAAATGTAAAGAGAAACTAGCCATTCTTCAAGATTTATTAAACATGTAATTTAAAACCGAATCCCAGCTTCTTTTTAAAGTTTTTTTGCAGCTTAAATATGATTCTTAAATAAATATTTAAAAAAATATACATCAAGGTATATACCCTTCTTCTCTGTCTCAAAATTCGGTTACAAATTTTCTTAAAATTTTTGAAAAACCAAACCAAGAAATTATTTCCTCTGTGTAAGCTGCCCCAAGCAGTATGCCACACTTTCGAGCAATATATGGCTCGCTGGAATACATTTTTCGAGCTTAGTTGCAGCCACATCCAGCATCCCGAACTGGCAGACAAATTATGCGTTAAGGGTGCATCCCTGCGGCTCAAAGGGCTGAAGAAGAATTTAATTAAATTTGCACAAAGTTAGCAGCAGAGCAGGCGGCATACAAAAACCAAAACGGACCAGGAACCGAAAAAGCCCAGCACTGACAACCGAGAAGTGTGGAAAAAAATCCATGGTGAAAAATGTTTAAATTTTCAATTCCAACAAAACCCCTCGCGAGTGCCTAGAAAAGCGCCAGCTTTAGAGCCCACTTAATTGGTTTTCCCCACAGGGAGCTGCTGACCGCAAATTAAAATAAAAGCGTACGCAGATCCCAGCCAAAGAGGCCAAAAGAATATCCATATAGTAAGCACGAAGGACAGTTAAATTTTGTAAACAGCATGTGGAGTCGTCACAGGCCAAACAAGGACAATGTTCGACGGTTTATTTGACTTTATGCAAATTGATTGCATAAATAATTTATGATTAAGGATCGAGCAGAATAATTTGCCAATTTAAATGCACAATTAGTTTAATTGATGCGCCGTCACGACTACCAAAAACGAAAAAAAAACTACACTCACACCCACAAATTGCTGCAATCAGAGCGCATCGAACTCGACAATTCTGTATTTGACAAATAAATAATGAAATGTTTATTGCCATTGCGAAAATGTTGCCATGTTGACAGTCCCCTGGCCGCCACTACATAATTATGCAAAATTCAACGACTGCAAAAAATATAAATAAATAAATAAAATAAAGTTTCAAACAAGCGACTGCAATTAAAATTAAAAATTAACAAAATATTTTGTGCCATCGCACACACATTTGGACGCAAAATTAACACCCGCGCATGCATGGCATCGAGTTAAAGCTCATTAAATTTGCATTTGCATACGAAATGTATAGTTTCAACACCTCCCCAACCCCAACAAAAAATTATATGTAAACCCAAAAAAAACCCATCTGCCAGCAGTCCTTCTTAGCCGGAAAATATTTTAACGCAAAAGCAATTAATGCAGCTTCTGATGATGTTGGTCCTGCCACTGAAATATATTTCCTAAGCAGAAGCTTCCTCACGTGAGTGTGTGTGTGTGGGAAAAATATGTAAATTTACAGAATTTTATGGGAATTACCAACAAATTATTATTATTTTTTGTTGGCTTTTCCGACTGCCAGCCAATAGCCGTGGCTAAAATTGCTGGCTGGCCAACAACTATGCAAAATATTTCGATGTGTTTACACTGCAGCTGCTGCTTCAAATATTAAAGTATAATTAAAATGAAATTACCAGTCTGGAACTTGATGTAATTAATTACGAAAAAAAACTCTAGCCTTTCCAGACTTCACTTATACTTTATTAATACCGCTGCAGATTAACTAAAGTGCTCATTAAAGCTTTAGTATTTTACCATCTCTATTCGAGCTACGTTTCCTTTTATTCACTTATATTCTTTATGCAGTTTTACCCCCAATGGACCGACCTGAGAGAGAGAGAGTGTTGGTCACAAACGTTGCGCATAAAGTGCACTTTGCGAATTCGCGCATTTTTATGACAAGATTTCAGCTTTTCATTTGAAACCAAAAGGCCACGCACCCATCCTGTAGCCGGGGAAACACTACACCCCGGCCACCTATTAAGGCTGTAACGAACATTTTTATTTACTTTCTTTTATTTGTACTTTGATTTAATGGCCATAAAATGTGAGTGAAAAAAACCGAAAGGAGGCAAGGGAAGGCGCGTGCATAAAAATCACAAGGCACGCTGTGAATTTTAATACCACGTTGCGTATACGTAATGATTTCACTTGGTCGTCGCCATTTTGATTTTTCATTTGGCAACAACTGTTGTTGCCATAACTACCAACAGACTGGCAGGCAGTCGAGCTGGTGACTTTAATTCTCCCAGCTGCGGCTGCCGTTGTCCTTTTTTTGCGATTGAAACATGAAATTGCATTTATTGTGCGGCGACAATGCAAACAAATGCACACGCACTGCCTGGGCTGGGATGGGATGGGTCCTGCGTCCTGGGTCCTCGAGCCTTGCCTTGTGACACCAAAAAGTAGGCAACGATTTTTGATTTATCACCGCTGCTTGTCTGTGTGTGTGCGTGTGTGCCTGCGTATAAATATAAATACTTATGCACATAAATTGAAATGAAGTGCCAGGCACTTTTGTGACCGTTTCACAGATTTTAATCTTTATTTATCGCCATTGCGGCCGGGCATTGTCATTGTCCCCAGGACTCATCCTTCCTTTCCGCGGCTATTTGGTGAATTTATGTTAAACAGGGCCCTGGCCCCACTCCTCCCTTTCCCGATTCTGATAAATGTTAATGTCTCTATAAATGCGTGTGAAACATATATCAACACATTGGCCATAACCATTTTAAATGTTAATCAAAGCGTTGACCGAAAATCTATCAATATTTATACATATTTAATGCCTGCCCAGAATCCGTGGGGAGCTGTAGAAAAAAACTATAGAAAATAGACGTCAATAAATAACCAAAATCAGAGCATAAAAAACGTCGAAATTCGTTTGGATTTGAGCCGACAATGAAGGACAAACCCCGTGCTGGTTTGGCTTCCACCAAAACCAAGTCGGACATTCATTGGTTCGATTTTTGCTGCAACGGATGTGGTGACGGTCGCTATATATACTACTATATTATATCCTGTGCAAATATGCACACAAAATTGTGCTTTTACAAATAAATATTGTTGTGGGATTAGGCCTGGCCGTCACAGATAACTCGGTTGGCAGGGAATGATTTGGGTTTTACGGAAGCATCATCAGACGGAAATATGCTCTCAGTTCCAGGATAGAAACAAAAACAACTACTAAAATCCTATGGATATGTTTTTAGTAGAGGTTACGATTTATATTCATTGAAATCTCTTCTCAGTTTTAACGAGAAAAGTCTTAAAGTTTGGCGACGCCAAGCTAAGCGGCAAAATGGCGCCAAGAACACTCGCTAAAGTGTCTTAATTATCACTGCAACTTTGGCTTTTCCGTCTGCTTGCCAAAAATAAATATGGCCCCTATTGAACTGGGCCCGAACCCAGGCCAGCCAGGGCTTAAATGGGCAATAGCAGCAGCAGGCAGGCAGGCAGGCAAGCAGGCTGGCAGGGTCGTGTGCGTTTATTTATAACAAGCGCAAAATGTGCACAATTAGCGCTATATATGGCATCGGCCCAGAAGGGGATTCTTCCTCCGATTCCGCCACCATAATCATGGCCAGCAAGCATGCCATTTAAGGCCCCAACGCAGAACTTTAAACGTGACTCACATTTCAACGTCGAACTAAAGCAGAACAAAACAGAGGCACCATCGGATTGGGGCTGGCGGGAATTGGAGCTGGGGCTCGGGGGCAGGGTCCGCGAATTAAGCTGCATACAATAAAACACAGCGCAAATTATGAGGGCCGGCTGGGAGAACAGTCAGCAAACAAACAGCAACGCGAAACGGCGACAGCCAGAATAAATAGAAATCAAGAAAGCATAAAAATGCCCAGAGACAAAGCGAAAGCCAAACTTTGAATGCAGGCACGAGTACGAAAAATTAAGTAGTTGTTGGAACCTGTCCCCAAAGATTAAAGACAACCCAGTGCCCGAGGCTCCTGCGACGTCGTTGTTCTCTGTTCTGGTAATTGAGGTGTGCACTTAGAAAGAGTATGTTATCAAAAATATGTTTAATAAAAAATTGTAAAGCATTTTTTGGCAAACATTTGTGGATCTTTGAAACGTACACACATTTATCGATAGAAAAATATTATTGTATAGATTTAAATACCTCTTCTTAAG